CTTCATATCTGCCGCACAGGAATATACACTTGAGAGGGAGTGTTTAGAATTGGGGGGGGGGGGGTTTAAAAAGGGAAAAAGGGGGAGACAACATTAGAATTGGTCAAATATAAAGAAGAAGAAAGATTCCTAACAGAAAATACCATCATGATTACGGCGTGGAGAGGAGTCGAGAACGAAGCAATTAATGCCAGTAAGACGTATACGAACGGTCATGATAATATGAATAAAGCTCCCCCCCCCCCCCCCGAAAAACCATTTGCGGGTTTGTAAAAGATGTGAAAAAATAATCCAGAAATAGCTTGACAAATCACCGCAAACCGCGCTTCAATATCTACATCCGGTACCTTGTAGCAGCCGAAGTTCGACTATAAAATACCTGCAAATATGAGTAAAAATCGGGGACTTTGCCCCCCCATATCTCAAAAACGGTGCGTATACTCAATCTGAAATTTTATTATGTGTAAAGGGTCACCCTATAGATGAAAAAATACCTCACACCGACCCCAATTTCGAGGGCCCGAAAACGGGCGAATTTTAGCCCTTTTTGTGCAAGGCTCTTTTGATCAAGAAACATGAATCAGAATGCTGAAATTCGTACCTTGTCTAGTGCTCCATTCTTGGACTTTCCCAGTTGGACAAGAATTCTCGTTCATTCAACCGGAATTCTCTTTAACATGACAGGACTCTTCGAAATAAAATGAATACCGTTCGAAACAAGGAGATTTCCTGATGACTGAACAAGAATGCTCGTCCGTGAATCGTCAATTGGAAATTTTATTGACTCAACAGGAAGGTATTCGTGTGTAAATTCTCGCACTCTGATTCCCTGAGACAACCCTGAAACCCGAGAGCGGGAGAGATTCACAATCAACGCTTTCAGGAGCCACTGACCGTCTGCTTAAGGGATGAAGGGATCTCTTGAGGATTTCGCGTGCGACCATTTCATCGTCAGGGCAGTTAAGTATGTCCATTACGCTACCCAACTGCAGACTTTGGGTCGATTGTCGAATGTCGAATGATCCTGATCGAAGAATCTCTATCTCAGCAATACTTATTATCGAGCAAGGTCATTCGATACAGATTCAACGATCCAGGCGCAGAATACAACTATTCGAACTCAACGGCTATCCGCGTTGCATACGCAAATAAATGAAGGCGCCACGTGGGCTGATGATTGAAACTGCAGACTGCGGGTCGATTTTTGAATCGTCATCGAATAACCATGATCGACAAAACCGTATCTTAGCAATGATTTTTATCGAGTAAAGTGATTTGACTCTAACTCAACTCAACTTCTTCGAATTTTTCAGACAGTTTAGTTCGCAATTTGATCTAAAATATTTATTTCAAGAAAAAATATGCACAACTTTCTCCAAAAAGTCATGATTTATCCGGGGAAATTTGGTAACTCTAGAACAATAATACAATGTTATTCCTGAATGTCTGCGCTAAATAAGTTAATCAATTCACGCTTTTTTAGACTACGACAGAAGATCGGCTATCGTCATTTTCGCATGGAAAGTAAATGCAAGACGCAAGATGGCGGATCTTCTGTTCTGTCGCAGTCTAAAAGTGCGTAAACTTAGTTGGCGCGGACTCTAGCACAGCAGCGTGGACCAGTGTGCTATCAACTGAAGCTCAGAACAAAACCGACAAGTTCAATTTTTTTACTCGAATTCCTTTGAGCGTTTCGAATTTCGGTCGAAGTCTCGAGCTTTCTCCCACTGCACGACGACGCGACGCGATTAAGGATGTAAATCCTCCTGCGAACAGCGGTCGTTGACACGGCTCACAGTGGAACGAGTCGAGTCGAGTCAACGGGACAAGTCAGAAGAAATTTTGAAAATTTAAAAGCTCAAAACTCTATTATTACAAAACGTAAAGGTTTTCAAAGCAGGCACCATAGGTTCGTTCGTCAAATTAACTTGCCCGAGTAGCAAAATGAAAATATTTTATGAAAAAAAAAAATATTAATGAAAAAAATTTAGAAAATAAAGAAAAAGTAGCTGGCCTCATGTAAAGTAGCCATAAAGGGAGTGCCACTATTTACCAAAGAAAATATGTCTACTTCCTGTCTACAAAATGGATCTATTTTCCGTCAAGAAAATTGATGGGGCTATTTCCTTAAGAAAACATATCCAAAAACCTGATGGAAAATAGAGAAAAATTGGATATTTAATTTTTCTTTATATATTTCTTAGAAATTCAAAATTCAGAAAACAGATAGAAAAAACACAGAATGTAGACGACAACTGTTTTCATTGTATTTAGTGTCCGGAACGTAGACAGAAAATAGAAGATTTCAATAATTTTCTTACTTCTATTTGATACATCTATTTTCTTTCCATTTTCTTTCTATTTCATTTTTCTGTCTTGAAAGTAGACAATTTCTACATTAATGCTAGACAGAAAATAGAGCCCCATGCTACTTGGGCGAGGAAGCACACCTTTAACTTCAAAATCTCACAAATTAAAAAACTAAAATTGCAGTTTTGGTCAAAAAATCTATGTCCGACCTCTCCCATTAACTCGATCCACTGTGCGTCCGCAGATGGATGCGACTACGACACCGAATCGGTAGTCCATAAATATTGAGGTTTAATGACTCTGATTGTGAGTGAATGCACCAAATAGACGGGAACGGAATTGATAAACCNGGGGGGGGGGGGGGGGGGGTGTGTGTGTGTGTCCGCGCGGAGTCTTTCCGGGACCATGTGAGGAAATCTTTCAAATTTTTCCGCATGAGCAGTTGAAGAAAAAAATTTGCGAAACGATCTGAGTTCGAGAAATCAAAAATTTTGGTGACGAAAGGAAGAGGGCTACTTGAACCGCGGCCACCAGAAGGGAACCAAGCCACATCAGCCATTGCCAAATTTAATTGGGCGCAATTTAATTTTTTAAAAGAGAACGTTTCTGCGGATTCTTTTGAAAATTTTGAGGAATTTACTTCGTACTATGAAGAAAATTTACTGAAATTTGCCCAAAATATCGCACAAGCACTCTCGTGTAAAAAATTAAATTGCCCAGATAAATTTGGCAATGGCTGATGTGGCTTGGTTCCTTTCGGCTTAACGCTGGATTTTTCCAATCCAGACAATCAGTCCTTCATTCAGGTCGAGTCTGAAAATTGAAGGTGGTCCCCGGAGAACTTCTCTCCTTTGAAAAGGTGTATTGGTGATATTGTACTAAAAAAAATGTCTTCCTTAAAATAACGATCACATGGGAAAATAGCATTTTCTAGTAGGAACCTAGGAATGTTTTGGCAATGCTGCTGGGTAACATCATTTCAAAACCATAATAAAATTTGAGCTATGCCAGCGACCATGCAGGGTGATCCAAAAGTTCTGCAACATCACAATAACCCGTATGGTTTTTGCTCCATTTCAGGGTGATGCCCTTGACATTTTGGGGGGCTCCAAAGGTCGTTTCTTTTAACCTAGGAGCACTCTCAAAATTCTAGTCTTTATCTTGATTCATTGGGTTGGTTGTTGCTAATGGTGCGGAGCTTTTGGATCATCCTGTATTGCGCAACATTAATGAAGTACTGTCCTCAACTGGATTTGATAAGAAGTCACAGCATAGTAGCCAAAAATGATCGATGTTACATATAAAAGAGAACTTCTAACGAATTTCCTCACAGCCAAGATACACCCCTTTAAAATCTAAGAAGGGATAAAATGTAAGAACAGAACTCAGGAGTAAGAGCTAAGATCACAGAAGTCTATTCTTT